ACAAAAAAAAAAAAAATATATATATATATATATATATATGTATATATGTGTATATATATATATTTATATATATGACATTAATAAATGAGGTAGTAATAAGTTGGAGGCAGCCAGTACTGGTTAGAAGCAGGTACTTGTGGTCTCTTAGTCTGTTAGTAAGAATAGTAGCAATAGAGACAGGAGTGACCAGGTGTCAGAGGGATGGCAATGGCAAAATGGGAGGCACCAATGCAAATTATGCGGATTAGACATGATGACTGCTGCGTAATGCTTTTCAAAATGCAAGTCTGGGCAGGATTATTGATTATCTTATAAAATGACAGTATCATAGCCCCAAGCAAGAGCCTGACTTCCAACCATCACAGTTCATTGCCTTTAACCCCAAATTAGCCATTCTGCAGCTGTCTTGCTCACCACTTTCTTAGGAATACAAACTCTCTAACACTTGTGCTTCACAGAGGACCCTGGATAAAGGGCAACTGCAGAGTCACATGAACTTCTTTCCAAAACAGCAGAACTGGGGCTTCCCTGGTGGTGCAGTGGTTAAGAGTCCGCCTGCCGAGGCAGGGTGCAAGGGTTCGTGACCCGGTCCGGGAAGATCCCACATTCCGCGGAGCGGCTGGGCCCGTGAGCCATGGCCACTGAGCCTGCACGTCCAGAGCCTGTGCTCCGCAACGGAAGAGACCACAACAATGAGAGGCCCGCGTACCGCAAAATAAATAAATAACAGCAGAACTTCTCGAGCTTGGGGCCCAACAACAAGCCTGGCTATTTCATCAGAGCTTTGTCAAGCTGACCACTTGATCAGTTTGTCATTACGTTCTTCAGACTCCCCTTTCTGCTTTATTTGCCTCAGTCCAGGGCAGTCTCCCTCTGGATTAAATATTCTCTCATTTCCAAACAGTTCTAGGGTCCTCCTGAAATGGAGCAAATGATCTGCTTTAAAAAAAAAAAAAAATCACAACTCATGATTTAACTAAGGACTTAGAGCAGCATTTTCATTTGAAAAAAGACTAAGCAGGTAAGGGCAGGGGAGAAGGAAAAAGAAATAATGGCAGAATTTCAGTTCTGGCACTCTGGAAGTGTGCGTCAGACACATCTGTGCTTTGGATGACCTTTCCTACCCATCTCAAATCACACTGCCCTTACCACTGAGCATTAGCCATGTCCTCATTCATGGGCTTTTGTGTTTGTGTGTTTAAAGAATTCCATTATCTAAGACCATTACATTCCACAATTTCTTTTCTGCATGTAAGCTTTTCTCTTTGACCACTGAATGGGCAAGTAAGGACCCTATCTGTTATATTCACCATTGAATCCCCATTGCCTACATTGCTCAATAAACATCTAATCATTAATGAATGAATGAATGCGTAATCAGAACTGGAATATTCTAGTTTCCCCATGTCATTAAAATATCTATCATTCAGTTGCATTATTAGGTCAGGTTTGCACAATGCTCAACCCACATTGTCCTCAGCAACTTGATTATTTCAACTACTAGCAGACACTTTTAGATTGTCATCGAATTTATATGATTACAGCCAAAATACATCCATGGTGGTGAAGAGGAAACTCTGACTAGAGCCAATTTTTCCCCTGGACTTATAGTTTATGCACCTCCTCCACTAGGTAAAGTTTGACCCATCACATGAGTTTGCACTTCATGCAAAGAAATTTAAAGCATGCATTGATATTTTTGTTTTATTTCAGCAAACTCCTGAAGACAAAGAGGGATATCGGATGGCTTCAAGGAGTAACTGGTGAATGGTTTGAAGAAGTTCAAAGGAAAAATTTTGCAATGAAACAGATGTTAGCCAAATGTTAAAACAACCAGTTACATACAGACTGAGAAAGGGGATGGCAGAAAATGGTGAGATCTTAGGGCACCTCATTGTAGATAAAGGCTCAGTGGGATCTCCAATTTAACCAATCCATGTTCAGGACTATTTTTAAATCATAAGGGGCAAAATTCACAATAAAAAGAGTGAACTGAAAATGGACTGTACTGTCTCGAGGGTATGTTTTTAGAGTCAGGCAAGATAGCACAATGGTTAAGAACACAGGCATCAGTATCAAAAAGGGCCTGGATTCAAATCTTCACTCTGTCTCTATATTCTCTATTCTATCAGAATTCATGTGACTCTGTTCAATTTACTTATTCTTATTCTCTATAAACCTCAATTTTCTCATTTTTAAATGGGTATGATAATACCTACTTCACAGGGTGGTTGTGAGAATTAAATAAAATAATACGTATAAAGTACTGAACACAGTAAGCATGTAAATAAATGGGATGATGATGCAGAAGGAGTGGGAGACAGAGGAAGGGAGGGAAAGGAGAACAGGACGTGAGGGGGGTTAGGAGGGGGAAGGTGGTAAAGAAGCTGCCACCCTTCTGGTACTTTGGTAACTTAAACCCCAAAAATGAGCTCAAACAAATGCCTTCCTTGGACATTCTAACTTTGTGACTACCAGCATGTCTCTCACCTTCACCAATCGCTTATTTTTTAGTCTGTAAATAAGGATAATAAAAACTGCTTTCTCAGGACTATTTGAGAATAACAAAATGCATTTAGAAATTTTAAGTAGTAAAACAGTGTAAAGTATAGAGTCACATTGACTGCTTTTGTTATATGTTACTAACATTAGTAACATTGAGAAACATGTAACAATATATCTAAACTTATATATTGGAAATATTTTGCAACTCCCATAAAAAAAAAAAATCTATCTAAAAAGTTCACAATTCAGATTTTTAGATTAACCCCATATATACCGTGATGAATTTCCCCTTACCTTGAATTCCTCATTTAAAAACTCAGCATGTCCAAAAGTATTACAGTATGATGGAACTGGTATATGTTGAGCATGGCTTAGAATTTTTAATACTCATATATAATATCATATTATCTATACATATATATTATACATATTTATATTACATGCATACCCATATATAAACCGTATATGTAGCAAATACATATGCACAGAGATTTTAATGGGAATAAGGAGCACTCTAAAGGGCTTAATTTCCTTTTCCTTTACTTTCTTTGATATGAAAAGTCATGTAGTCTATCCCTATGTTTTGATATTTTTTAATTTTTTTTAATTTTTTTTTTTTTTTTGGTGGTACGCGGGCCTCTCACTGTTGTGGCCTCTCCCGTTGAGGAGCACAGGCTCCGGACACGCAGGCTCAGCGGCCATGGCTCACGGGCCCAGCCACTCCGCGGCATGTGGGATTCTCCCAGACCGGGGCACGAACCCGTGTCCCCTGCATCGGCAGGCGGACTCTCAACCACTCTGCCACCAGGGAAGCCCTATCACTATGTTTTTAAAGCACCAAAATAAAAATTTCTGAAGGATGGGGTAATTAAGAGCATCACGAGAACCGGATGAGGTCCCTAACACACTACCTTTGGCCTTGGATTGCCGTGGGGAAAACACATTGAGAAAGTGTCCCAGCTGGTATGAGGGGAAGGACATCCTGCAGAGCTGCAGGCCCCAGCACCTACTGAAAGACTCCCCACTCTTAGTGAGGCTCCTCCGCTCAGCAGAACCAAGAGGCACAGGGCGCCCCCTAGTCCCGAGGTCTTCATGTGGGGATGCCTGCCTTCCTAGACTGCATGGATGGGGGTGTTAGTTCTCCAAGAGTATTTACCTGGAAATATTAATCATACAAAATTTTTACAATTTTTTTTTAGATCCTATGGAATTACAAACATCAAGATCTAAAAATATACCTAATCAAAGAAACCCAACATCCGTTCCTTCTCGGCTGAGCTTCAGATCATCATTTGCTTCCCTGTTCTCATTCAGAAAATCCAGAAAGGAGACTTTAAAGCTTCAACCACTGGGAGAGAAAGGGTGAGTTAAACTCAGCTCCTGTGACAGCTTATTAGTTATCTGATACCAGAGCCCACCAGCCTGTTTTGTGTTCAGAATGTTTAATGTTCTTAGAATTTAATATCAGATAGTAACAAAGGAAACAGGGCTGAGCCCTCAAAGGGACAAAGTCCTTATGAAACTTTGAAACTGGGCTCATCTGAAATCCAACTTCTAATCAACTGCACAGGTCTCAGGAGGTGGACATAGTGAATGATGGATTAGATGTTGAGAAATAATTATTGACAGTTTCTCCACTGCTCCAAGAGCCTGGTCTTTGCCCTGGTCAAGAAGATACATTTAAATTGAAACTACTCCTTACTTGGGGAGTATGTGTGTCAGGAGAATTGCAGTATAAAGAGTAAATGAGCATAAATGAGATGAGCAAAGAGTAGAGAAAAACTGAATTATGAAATGGAGAAAAAATATATTACCATCATTAAAAATATTGAGGACAGCCATTCTTCTGTAGTTGCTTGGAATTTAAACTTAAGGTGAAGGAGGGGAAGCTCTGAGAGCAGTGGAGGTATTGTTCCAGTTGGTTCCCAGTTGAGAACTGTGTAAATCAGTTCATCTTGACTCATTACGTTGTTGGATTGTTTTGTGAAAAACAAGCAAGGCTTTGCTTACATGCAATTTGCTGACTGCTAAATATTTTCAGCATGTCTTCCTGGTTGAAAAGCTTCCCACCCTCTTAAGGTGTTGGCTTGGCACATGATGTGTTCCATGTGTGCCATTAAGAGTGCATTGCAGCTCTAAATAAAAGGTGTTGGAGGTCACTCTTGCTGAAAAACAACAGGCAGCAAGCAGCTTGGTGAAGCATGCAATGAGGCTCCTGACTCGTAGAGGAGCTCTTGGGGGAATGGAAGGCTTTTGCTTCCAGCTTTCACCTGAGGCTGTTTTTGCCTTTGATGAAATAGTGAAGAGCTGAACAAAATGTAGATTTATGTGATCGTTTCCACCAGAGTCACTTACGAGGAAATACTCTTCAAATAGTGAGTTGCTTTTCTTTGTAAAAAATGTTTTAAACACTAGTAATTCTCTCATTTGGGAATTAAAAATTCAGGAGTATTTCCTTTATAGGAATTATTGTTTTTAAGGAGAAAAGAAATATTCCTAATGTGTAGTGTGGCTGAGACTTATGATGTAATTTGTGTTTTAGGTAATTTTCTTCAAGGCAGGGTTTTATTGTAGCTGAACAATCTAACATTAGTAAACTAGGAAAAGTTGAGGAAACTGTTAACTCTATTGACAAGTTATTTCCAAGCTCATATTGTAAGTTGCTGCCAAAGTGGATCAAAGAAGATGAAAGTTCTATAATCTTCATTCTGGGTATCATGTATTTTAGTTACAGACCAAATTGAAAAAATGAAACTCTTGCAAAATGCTGTTTAGCGATTGTTCTTCTTAAATATCACAATGACTTGTAGCTGTCTTTTAGCCAGACAAACACAAGATACAAAAATGAAACAAATTTTATCCTTTAAGCATGTGTGTGTGTTACAGTTTTCAGAATTTGCCATCTTTAAATACATTTTATGTTCAAACCGTAAGTGGGAATAATTGTGCTGGTGCAGAATGTAATGAAGGCACTGTTTTATGCTCCTAATAGGTTTCAGAAGATAAAACATGAAAATATGCCCTTTTTATTTTTAAATATGAATGTGACCTAAATATATGGATCTAAATCCTGAATGTGTATGTGTGTGCTGGGGGAAGGGTGTTTTTAAGGGAGCGTAGTACTATGGTAGGACTAGAAATTGTGTGTCATACATTCCGAGGGGCCCTTTATTCTTAAGTAGAGCTTTTTTCCTTAGGCAGTTCTGATTTTTTTCAAAATACAGAATCAAGCTTCAGCATACAGACTCTGGTTCAGGAGCTCCTCCTTGCCTATAAGCGCAGTGGGAGGAACTGACAAAGAGCCCCAGAGGGGAGCACAGTCATCCTGTGCGAGGCAGGTTTCTGCTTGCTGAAGCCATCAAGACTCGACTTTGTCACACTCTGTCCTCTGGAGAACAAGTCAGCAAAGCAGTTTAAGAGGATCTTCTGCAAATCACAGAAAGAAAGCCAACCCCTAGAAAGCCATGGGAACATAGTGACTTTATTTATTAATAAAAAGGCAAAAAGTTTTGCTATTTCTGATTCAGATATGACTACTGAAGTTTCTCCTCCCAAATTTATGTACTTCCCAAATTATCCCATTATTATTTTAATCCTATTTGTAAATGATTGAACTGTACTCTCTATGACTCTACCACAACCCCAGGAACAAAGAAAATTTTCCATTAATGTTTTAATTCATTTATTGCTAGCCAAAATTTCAAGAAAACATACATATACAATTGTACCTTGGTATCTGCGGGGGATTGGTTCTGGGAACCTCCTGCGGATACCAAAACCCACAGGTGCTCAAGTATCTTATACAAAATGTACAGTTAGCCCTCCATAGCCACAAATTCAGCCAACCAGGGTTCCATCTGTGGTTAGTTGAATCCGCAGAACCTGTGGACACTGAGGGCTGACTGTATTGTGTATCTTTCTCCTAATATTTCCCTGTAAGTTATGTTTCCTTGTGTCTTGTTTTGGGGTATTTATTGCCTGAGATATGGTGCTCAGTCCCTGCCACAGAATTTCAGTAACTCCATCGCCTCCACATAGTTCAGCAAGTACCTAATAGTGTATATCACGAGCTTATAAATGCAGCCTTCCTGGCTGCCCAGCAGTATCTGCAGTTACTTTTTCTTATTCCAGACCCCCGGTTATTCCATTGATGTACCCCTCACCGTGAATAGGTGATGTGCCACCCTCTGTTCCATGCACCAACACACTCCACAATGAAATCGTCCCTGCAAAGGGGTCCCTTCATGTCTACACACATTCTTAAAGCTATGAAGCCATATGCCACCAGTTCATGATGGTGATTTTAGCGATGTTGATCATTTTCCCCTCTACACTTTCCTTTGTTGTAGTCCCAAGGACTAGGGCAAAGTGGAAGTACAAGAGAACTAGTTCATAAGACTCATGAGTAACATGTACAGTTAAATTTAAGTTGGCTTCTTTCCTTTGAGGACCATCACAGTGTATAGCATACAGTAAGTATTCACCACTCAGCTGTGATTATAGCGTGACAACTGCTCTCCTGGAGTGAGGGTATGCCTGCCCACTACCCTGTTCCTTTCGGATGATATTTTTACCTGAGGATGCAGAGTTTTGGTGGGTGCCCAAATTTACCTGATCTATCATAGGATGTACACAGCCTAGGCAGTCCAGTTTACATAAGCAGAAGATCAAATGCTATTTTGGAAAGTTTAAAAGGCAGATTATTGTTTTCCCTGGATTCTGTTTTCTCTCTCTCTGTCTCTCTCTCACTCTTCCTTTTTCTCTCTTTCCAAATGTCCTACTATGCTGCCTTCCTTTTTCCTGCTAAGTGACTAGGCTTCAGTTGGAGGACACGGGCATGTAAGACACCTAGATCAAAGGAGAGATCAGAGTAAGCAAAATCCTTCTCTGGAAATTCTCCTTCAGTGATCCCAGGTGTGGTATCCACAGTTTAACAGTAGGATTGTGGTGACAGGAGGGAGAAGCATGACAAAGGGAGTGGTTCCCAGATGATCTGGTTGATCATTATTAGAATTTCATCAGCATTTTAAAATAATGACAGATAACCAGGCCCTAGCCTTGAGATTCTGATTCAGGTCTGAAGTGCAACACTTTATTTATTTTTAATTCCCTAGGATATTTGGATGCTCATCCAGGTTTGGGAGCCATGGTGGCAGAGCTTCATACCCCCATTATGGCAAGGGCCATCAGAATTCCTGGCATGGTACTAATAGCTGAGGTGATAGCTTCTCTTTCATTTATTTATCACAGTCCTACTCTGGATCAGTTACGTGTTTAGTGCTGGAGATAAAATCGTGAAAATAAGGCAAAGTCCCCACCTGGAGGACTTTAGAATCTAGTAGGGAACACCAGATGACTGCGTCCGGTTGGGCAGAACTCTAGGAAGTGTTGGTCACATCACAATCATCATGGATTTATTCGTATATTCATTATGGCAGTTTTCTGGCAAATGACAGTAAGGATCTTGAGGAAGGGATGCTCTTTAGAAAACACACAGGGGTGACCTCTGGGTGACAGCCGAGTACACTGATGATTATGGTATCATATGGTGAGTGCTGTGGTGGATGCATGGTATTCCTGCCATGAGAACATTATAGGAGAAGCAGTTAATTCAGACTGGAGGATACAGAAGCATTCCTGGAAAAAGAGAGCCAATTTCTGAAGGACACATAGGACTGAGCTAGGCAATTAAGAGTTAGGAGATTGCGCTGGGCAGAAAGAATGATACAGCAAAGATGCAGAGATTGGAAAAAAGCAAGAACTCATCTAGGTCATTGAGGTTCAGTGACCAAGTATAAGGTGAGACTGATAAGAGGTGGGGTGGGAGCAGCTGGCAAAGGCCAGAACATAGGAACCTTATACATGCAATGCTAAGGAGCTTGGACTTGATCCTGTAGACAGCAGGGAGCCCTTAATCACTTTTTCTAATAATACCATTCTTTTCCTTATTATATATATTATATATGTATTCCTTTATTTTATATATATATATATATATTTAAAACAGATAAAATCACCCCCCACCCACTGACCTGGACAAACAATAATTATTTTGGTGTATTTCATGCGTGTGTGCATATTGTATTTTTTTTTTTCATTAAACAGAGAAGTGACATAATGAGATTTTCATTTTAGAAAAATCACTTTAGCACAGTGGTTCTCAAGCAGGGGCAATTTTGCACCCCTGAAAGCCACTTGACAATGTCTAAAGACATTTCTGGTTTTCATAACTGAAGGGTGGGTGCTATTGGCATCTAGTGGGTAGGGGTCACAGATGTTGCTAAACATCATATAATGCATGTGACAAACCACTACACTGAAGAAATGCCAGTAGTACCAAGGCTGAGAAACTGCTCTACCTATAGCTGGTGAAGTGGGAATATATGTGAGATATCTTTAAGGTATGGCTCAGTAGGACTTGTAAGCAAATGCAGGTGAGATCTGAAATCTCTTGAAGTCACTAAGTCCAGAGGACTTTAACCAGCATAGCTTTTGTGATTGCACTGTTGTTTTTATTCACTCTACAAGTGGAAGCCTTTCACATCAGAAACATAAATTAACTTGAAGGCGGGCCTGGAAGTGACCATGGAGACTCTGGGCCTCCAAGCCTCCTGAGTCCTATACCCTGCCTGCAACCTAAATCCACACGGCCTTGCACACTGTCAGGGAACATGCATCCTCCCACTCACAGCACACCCTCCCACTCGGTGACACTCTGTCCCAATTGTGCCACCTGCTACCCTCAGAAACTGATTCTTGCCCCTGCTCCCTTCACTCCAAATCAGACCAGGGGCCTGACTGAGCTGATGAGAGTGTTGAGCTGCACAGCGACACCATGAAGCCGGCAGCTCCACAGGGCTCTGGAAAGAATCTTCACAATCTGGACAGTTTGGCTCCAGGCAAATTGAATTACTTGCCAGTTCCTGGCCTCCCTTACTCTCTTACATCTCAGGCTTGTGCTCCTGCTGTTCTTTTCCTCTCATACCTGTTCAACTACCACCTTCTCTCCCTGTTGCCTTCCCATTTATCTCGGCAAGTGCTCACCGGCCCCTCTGCATTTTCAGCATATTTTACTTAAGCCTCTGTATTGTCTGTATTGTCCTTTTCTCATTGTGGCTTGCACTTTGGCTCTTTATGTATCTAATCTTTCCTATCATAAAGTGTCTCAGAGAACAGGGGCTCTATCTCAGGCATATTTATTTCCTCCAAAGCACTCAAAATAGTGCGTAGCATGTAGAAGGCTTGCAGGCTCAATAAAGCTGTATGAAAAGGAAGCATATGAATAAAAACAGTATTTTAACTTCTAAATATTATTAGTGTAGAGCTGGTATTTCAGAATAATATGAAAAAAATCCATATTAATTTTAAGTTCTGTTTAAATTTTTAGCTAAGCTATAAAATACATGTTGGTATCTTTTAAATATAAAATTGCTTGGCCTCCAAGGTTTTATGCTCAACTTTCAAGAACCATGAAGCAACTAGGAGTTTGAATGAAGGAAAACTGCATCTTGCCACTTTCAATTGATCTGACCTAGAGTCTCAGTTTGTTTAATTCTTGATTCCATCTTGCTGTTCTCTTAGTGAAGGAGAGGACTTGATTTCATACAAGAGCTCTGAGTCATTATGGTCTATTAACTCTTAAGCTACAATTCAGGCAGCACACCCTGGCATAGGATTATAGATTTTAAAAAATCAAAATTTATCTCAATTTTGGACCTATGTCTTTAAAAGTTTTTACCTTCTACTGAATTTTAGAGAAGCAACATAAATAGTAAAAGCATATTGTTCTCCTTCAAGATGATTTCATAATAAATAAGGCATATGTATAAAAATAAGCATCCTGAAGTCATCTTTATAAGGTTTGCTTTTTAAAAACTTCCCTTAAGAATTGTTGAGTCTGGTTCTGACTTACTGTCTCTTTAAAATAAAAATGTACAGAAGCAGAAAATCTGTTTCCCATTTACAAGAAAATTCTGTGTGCCATACTGATCAAGAATGAGAGCTCTAGATTCAGTCAGCCTGTGGCCGACTCTGAGCTCAGCCACTATGTACCTTGTACAGTGTCTTCTAACTTCTCTGATCTGTAAAATGAGAGTTGTCATAGTATCCACTTGACAAGAGTGATGTATTTAAATGAGATAACATGCCTATAGAGCATGAGAATGCTGCCTGATACACAGTAAACACTCAACAAATATAACTGTTTTTGTAATTGTCTTCATGCTATGTTCAAGTACAAATCCACTATTATGTAATTTTTCTTGGCTACCTGAGTGACAAAGATGTAAAACATTGATCCTAAGCAAGAATAGGAAAATGTTTCTGAAAGATTTTTCAACAGTGCACTAAGAAATGTCTCCCTACTAAGCATCAGAAATATATCTTCTCAAGATATCAAGATATAATAGCAAACATGCTATTGATTTTCCAAAAGTTAGGCAATTCTTCAAAGAAGTTATTTCAAATTCTTTTCACAGATGTGACGACCACATACCTCCTGTGTCTGTGAGGGGAACTGCTTTGGTAAGTAACCGAAGAACTAAAGGTTATGCTGAAGAACTCAGAATTAATGTAATTCCTGATTGGCTACCTACTTAAATAGAATTCTCACTGGCGCAGTTTGAAATTTCCTTGAGAAGCTTAGATTTCTCCTACAGAGTTCAAAGTTTCCCAGCTGTGATCTGTTTCCAGTTGGCTGTGGTACTAAAATACTCAAACAGCAGGCTCTGCCAGGAGGAGTGAAGCCATTGTGTGTCCACAGAGACTATCGTTAGTATCTCTGATATTTTACCACATGTCAGTCCTGTACAGCCCTAAAATGTTGGACAGAGGAAGAATTTATTTGGGGATAGCAGAGGAATTTCAATTTGGGGCATGCAAACTGTAGCAAGCTGCAGGCAAGTCTGCTGAGGATTTGGGGTAGGCTGTATTTGGGCAGGGAACGTAAAGAGGTGAGAGTTCAGTTTGAGTCTGTCAAAATCAATGGAGACCAGCTTTGAAAATTTCCAAATAAACTTCAAACCAGTGTGGGTCTGCGCTAGACCTATTCTGGGCAAGATCATCATTTGTATTCAAAGAGGAAGCCACTGATAGGTGAGATGCATTTGGACAGAACAGGTTCACATGAGGGGGCTGACCCAACAGGACCTCCACTTAAAGGGCTTAAATTTAAATTTATCTCTGTGTTCACATGCTTATAAGATTGAGAAGCTTTACGTTTTCTGTTTCTTACTTGTTTGCTGTCATGACTTTTGATCTACACACACTTGTGTCTTCCTGTGTAATTCATATGGTTTGGAGATGAAAGAAAGATGGAGTTTTGGAAGGTACCTAAGAGTGTAGGAGGAAGGTAGAGGCATTTCTCAATTGATGGCCCTTAGTACTAATATCTACCTTTCTCTTCTTTTTTCAAAAAGCATAAGATAAAATTCTGGTGAGGAGTGCATATAAACAGGTTCTTTACTTCACAAACAAAAGTGAGCCTCCTTTCTTCTTCAGAGTAATGCTACTTTCTCTCCTTTATATGCTTGAGCCCCAACCATGACGCCAGCAGCAACAACTGCTACATTCTGATGGAGAACTTGCTATCATCCAGGTACTTGACATGGGTCACTTCATTTAATCCTCAGAGGTAATCTATGAAGTAGGTACTATTATTATTCCCATTTAAAGATGAAGAAACCGGGGCTTCCCTGGTGGCGCAGTGGTTGAGAGTCTGCCTGCTAATGCAGGGGACACGGGTTCGAGCCCTGGTCTGGGAGGATCCCACATGCCGCAGAGCGGCTGGGCCCGTGAGCCACAACTGCTGAGCCTGCGCGTCTGGAGCCTGTGCTAAATTAAAAACATTTAAAAAAAAAAAAAAAGATATTGATTTCTAAAAAAAATAAAAATAAAAAAAAAAATAAATAAATAAAGATGAAGAAACCGAGGTTCAGAGAATTTAAAGATCATGCACAAGGTCACACTGGAAAATGGTATAATCAGGATTGAAAAACCCGGGTCTCTGTTAACTCGGTAGCCAGAAGTCAAAAATGCCTACAGCTCCAACAGCCCCAAAGCCCTGTTTATTTATGAGCCCCAGTTGCTCGCTACATGCAGACTCTCCTTTAACTGAACAGTGGACTGAACTGGCACACATGCAGCTTTGTTCTCTAAAAGGACAGAGCCCTACTTCAGGATGCTTCTGTACTCTTGCTTTTCCTCGGAGAAGTGCTCAGGGCTAACCCTCCTTTCCCATTTAAGAGCCATGGGGTCTGAAACAAATGAGGAACATAAAAAGAAATGCGAGCACCTAGAAGTTATAAAACAGGAGAGCTAATCTTGAGTTCTTGGGATTTGAAAGTCCAGTCTGAGGATTAGTAGATATCCTTCTTTTGCACTCTTAATTGCTGCTTACCTTAAACCATTTTACTGCTCACAGCATGTCAATCTAAAAAAGTAAGAACTGGGAATATAAATGAAACTCAAGCCGATGATTGTAGCTCCCAGTTAATAACTATTATAAAAAGTAGGAGAGAGAAAATAATGAAACGATTGTTGAAGACAAGAGTTTTGTATAACATGTAGATCTCCGTTATTTATCCATGAAAGTCCTATCCCCTTAACCTGCAGAGAGCTGGAATTTGGCCTTTGATGCCACAGGGATTCTTGCCAAGATTTAAGATAATGAACTTTCCTCTCATTTGGTTGGTAGCCTAGCAGGAATGGTACAAGGGGGATTCCAACATTTTGTAGGAGGTTGTACTACATTCTTGGATGACCTTCCATTCAAAGAGAAGGAAGCTGGGACTTCCCTGGGGTCCAGTGGTTAAGACCCCGTGTTCCCAATGCAGGGGGCCTGGGTTTGATCCCTGGTCAGGGAACTAGATCCCCTATGCATGCGCAACTAAGAGTTTGCATGCCACAACTAAGAGCCTGCATGCCACAACTAAAAGATCCCACATACCGCCACTAAGACCCAGTGCAGCCAAATAAATAAATAAATATTTTTTTTAAAAGAGAGAGAGAGAGGGAAGCTGCTATTTATACATATACATCAGGGACTTCCCTGGTGGCGCAGTGGTTAGGAATCTGCCTGCCAATGCAGGGGACATGGGTTTGATCCCTGGTCCGCGAAGATCCCACGTGCTGCGGAGCAACGAAGCCCGTGCGCCATAACTATTGAGCCTGTGCTCTAGAGCCTGCATGCCACAACTACTGAAGCCCACGCGCCTAGAGCCCCGTGCTCTGCAACAAAGAGAAGCCACCGCAATGAGAAACCCGTGCACCACAACGAAGAGTAGCCCCTGCTTGCCGCAACTAGAGGAAGCCCGCACACAGCAACGAAGACTCAATGCAGCCATAAATAAATAAATAAATAAACATTTACATCAGCTTAAAAGAAGCAAAGGGTTTAGAAAACAGAATTTTTAGAGCTAGAATGTGTGAAAGAATTTCAGTCTAAAATGGAAGCAGGGCTTCCCTGGTTGCACAGTGGTTGAGAGTCCGCCTGCCGATGCAGGTGACACGGGTTCGTGCCCCGGTCCGGGAAGATCCCACATGCCGCGGAGCGGCTGGGCCCGTGAGCCATGGCCGTTGAGCCTGCGCGTCCAGAGCCTGTGCTCCTCAACGGGAGAGGCCACAACAGTGAGAGGCCCACATACCGCAAAAAAAATAAAAATAATAAATAAAATGGAACCGGAGAATACATTGTGTAAAATGAAAAATCTGACACATATTCCCTGAGGAAGATGAAACTTAAGGACCGAGAAACTGATTTCCCATAAATGCCTGATTTACAGAAAACTGATAATAATATTGGAATTTTCTTAAATGACAGGGAATTGGTCAGGGATTGCCTCCTATCAACCTTGCAAAGTTTTGCTAATGGATTCCAGAGGCATGAACAAAAATGTTCCGGGTCAGGTTGGCCTCACAAAATAAGCTGAATTGAGCTTTGTTTGTATGACTGGACTGGTTTTGTCTGCTCAGGAAATTTTCAAAGCTGGTCTCCATTTGTGTGTTTTTTTTTTAACATCTTTATTGGAGTATAATTGCTTTACAATGGTGTGTTAGTTTCTGCTTTATAACAAAGTGAATCAGCTATACATATATATATTTCCCCATATCTCCTCCCTCTTGCGTCTCCCTCCCACCCTCCCTATCCCACCCCTCTAGGTGGTCACAAAGCCCCGAGCTGATCTCCCTGTGCTATGCGGCTGCTTCCCACTAGCTATCTATTTTCCATTTGGTAGTGTATATAAGTCTGTTTTAACAGACTCGAATTGAACTCTCCCCTCTTTACATTTCCTGCCCAAATACAGCCTATCCCAAACCCTCAGCAGACTTGCCTGCAGCTCGCTACAGTTTGTGTGTCCCAAATTGCAAGTCCTCTGCTATTGCTAAATAAACTCATCTCTCGATCTTGCCTCAGGTTACCCTTTTATTTAGGTTGACAAGAGAAACTTAGAGATCTTCTAGCTCAGAGTTTCTCTCTACTTCAGCACTTCTGACATCTTGGGCTGAATAATTCTTTGCTGTGGGGCCTCTCCTGTGAACTGTAGGATGTTTAGTGGCATCCTACTAGATGCCAGTATTTCTCCTCCACTAAACTGTGACAATCAAAACTATCTCCAGAAATTGCCAAATGTTCCATGAGGAGCAAATTGACCTCAGTTGAGAACCACCTCCTTAAAGGCGAGGAATCCAAAATCAAAGTAGCCGCCATCTCCGAGAATAGACAAACTGTATGGCCTTGGCCACTTGGTCACTCCTTATTTCTGAACAAATTCTGGCTTGGTCTGCTCTTAGGTGATATGCCAGCTCTGTACCCCTAGAAACATACCTCCAATGTGGCATAACCAGACTAGGCTGGTGTGAGCTCCTTGAGACTTGGACCATGCCTGCTCACCTGTGTATCCCCACTTCCTGGCACAACGTGAGTACTCAGAAACTGAAAGAAGAAATGAATGTGTGGTTTTAAGCCACAAGGTACAATGCTGGATTTGAGCTTTGCAGGAAAACAGACGCAGAATAAATTCAAGAACACCTTGAAAAATTAACTTGTTGACTTTATCAAGGCATTTGATAACATCCATGAGCTTCAGCTTCAGTTCCAACAGCTGTTCTACAGGTTTGGCTGCCCTAGAAGTTCTCAGATAGTCTGAGGTTACTATATGACAGAGGTTTGTTTGTCTCATCATGTCAGAATTGCAGATGTTATCAGTAGAGTGAATTGGGGTTGGAAAAATGGCCTTATTTTGCTCAGCATATTCTGTGTACCATGTTTAAGAATGTAACTGAGACCCTAAAGCCAGCATTTTGAGACTCTGGCCTCTAATCCTGTAGGACACTTTTCTAACTCATTACGCTACAAGCACCTACAGGAGTCCTCCAGGAAATTCTCTGTAACCACAGAAGACTAGTAATGACTAACGATGAGGAATTACTAAGTGCTAAAAACCATTCTAAATTGTTTTACAACTATTAATTCATTTAATCCTCGCAGCAACACTATTAGATGAGGAGTGTTGTTGTTGCGTTTTTGTCTTTTTTTTTCATTATTCCAAGAAAGAAAGTAAGGTACAGAACAGAAACATTAAGCAACTTGCCCAAAGTTGTACAGCTTTTAAGAGAGAGAACCAGAATTTGGACTTGTTTAGTATTCATGTGCTTAACCATTATGCTTTCCTACATCAGACATGCTATATTGAGTCAATATTGTAAATATTCAGTGTCTCAATTTCTGTAATAATCTTCACTAAAAATCCTATATATGTAATTTTCTACCTTGGTATATTGAAAATCAATCCATAACTGGGTGCGTGGAGGGTATGGAATGTTTAAAGCAAGGTTCCTGTCTTCAGAGAGTTTACCACCTAATTGAAGAAATGTTCATTAGTAAAATAAAAATACAAAGCAATGTAGTGGAGAAAATAGGATTAGAGATCAGACCATATGAGTGTCAGTAGCCAGTGTCACCTTTTATTATTCCTGTGACTTGAGTAAGGTACTTAACTGAGACTCAGTTTTTTCGTCTGCAAAGCAGGAA